GATGCCTATGATGGCGCGGCCCAAGAGAATGTGCATAGAGCCACTTACAGGAGTTTTGAAAGTCAGGACATCATCATTGTTACGGTGATGATTGCCGTGGCCATTTTCATCGCCCTCTTCCTCATTGCTGCTATGGTATTTTTGCAATGTCCCGTTTGCCGGAGACGACGCCTAGGCGCCAATTATGACCGTGCAAATTGCGGCAGCAATCACAAGAGCCCTTCGCCAACAGCCGGAGTTGACTTACAGTACAGCGTGTCGCCTGACACTCACGGCTACTACTACCTACCCGAAGTGTTTCGGGACTCACACAGCCTTATTTCGCTGGTTGGTGGCGGTAGCAGGCCTGGGGATACAACGGTGGGCAAGGAGAACTCTCTCGGCAGTAGTGCCTACAGTTATGATGGTCATGATGACATGAGCGGGGAAACCCTCGTCTATCCTGCGATCTTACAGCTGTCTGAAGATGGACAGTCTGCGACCATCCTGGAGGCACCCAAAATACCAAGCTCGGCTGTTCAAAGTGGTGTCCGCTTTGGCGACATTGCAGGTGAGTATGCAAAACGTTGGATTTTCTCGTCATGACCAACATTAACGTGGTCTATTCTTCCTATAGGGACATTCGCTTTGTGTGCATGTTTTATAAAAGTGTTTGCTTACTATAATATCGTATAAACTGGAACACGCGCATCCCAAAAAATTTAAATTTGAAGAAGACGTTCCTTTGGGATAAAATAACTTTAATGAATGAATTTTTGAGGTTGGCCTCTTCAAATCGTCTTCGGACTAACAAGACTAACAAGAAAAGTGCAAGGAACAACTAAAATACAGAGACCGCAGGACAGAAACTATCTGAGAACAAACCTACCAATCATGTCTCACTTTGTATAACTATTTATTTTTTCGGCAGTTTTGAAATTTTAGTTGTTCATTGCACTTTGCTTATTAGTCTTGTTAGTCCAAAGACGAGTTGGGGTAACAACCTCGAAAATTCACTCATTAAAGTTATTTTATCCCAAAGGAACCTCTTCTTCAAATACTATACCATCATTATAAAAATAGCAACAGTAAGGTCATTTTGATTATGCATAATCAATCCAAATATTCAGCTGACTGGTGAATTTTACCTTTTCGCCGTATACAATGTAATCAAATAATGAGTAAGTATGCCTATACATAGTGCGCTATATTTGAAATGAACAAGAGGATTTGGATGCGGAACTAACAACTTGACCGACTTGAATATTCATCTGATAAAAAAGAGGTTTTATATTTTCAGTAATAATAGCACAAATGCATTGAAAAAAGGAAATAAATGGAAGGCCTGCGTATTTTGCCTATGCAAAGGGAGAGGACTCACTTCAGGCCAAATAACTTTGCAACTAGCTTTTAATTTGTTTTATTATATTTGGCCCTGAAGCCAGTCAACTGGTCATCATTTTAATGAGACTTCGTCAGGCATCTCTTTTTTGTCTATTTTGCCATCGTTCTGGAAATATTCCCATTTTATAATTGAGAAGTCATCTTGGCAAACACATGTTTTCAGCAATTCTTTGTCAGGCAAATACAATCGCAGGGACTAAAATGGTCAGCTAGATGTGGTGTCAAAATGGTTCTCGGGGTAGGGGGGCCGAGGGGTCTAATTAGTCACCTTGGTGTCCCCTCGTATCCCGCATGTGGGCGCCAGCCTGTTGAGAGCGTTGGGTCCGGCGAGCAGGGAAGAGGGGGAAGGGTGCTCTCACGGTCGGCGTGCGTAGTTTCGGATGACATCTGTTCTGGCTGCACGGTATTCACTGGTGTGGTTGGCCAAAGTAGGCAGACTGCATGTTGGAATACATAGTTTTTCTTAATTTTCGAATTATAGCCACACGACTGTTGATTTTGATTTAGGCAATAAAATTGAAACGAGAAAGTTATTAAAAAGATACAACTGAAAAGCTAGTAGTAGAGAGAGCTAAATAAAATTCCTACTTCGAAGGCCATATATTTGTTTTAGACAGCTAAGCCTGTGGCTTTTCCCGAAAACTTCTAAACTTCTAAGGAAAAGACGTTGAGTTTTGAAAACAATTCTCACCTAATAAACTTTTTTTTCCAGAACGGTATGGTCAAATATACAACGCTACCTAAGAACTTACCCTTAAATCTTAACCTAACGTGCAAAAGTGTACGCTGTAAAATCACAGCCTAGTACTCCTGTAGACCATATCTCCCATATACTGCTTACGTTATTTTCCTAAACTGGAGAGATTTTCTGGACTTGACGTTCATTTCTAGTAAATATCATTTTGTGCTTACGTTATAGCAGGTCTTACCTATAGTTCCTCTGAAGCTTCAATCAAGCGGCCTTTCATCTATTTTTCATCTGTGTTGCCCTGTCAGTAATGAAGCAAATAGTTCAGGCTTTTCCCCATAGAAGCTGCACACCCCGGAGTATAAGCATCTTTTTAATTCACACAACTGGCTTAAGGACTACTATTTGACGTTGTTTTTATTGGGCATCAGTGAGCTGCTTATTGAATACTGTTATCTAAGTTTTTGACCCTAAACGTACCCATATGGTTCTTGAGTGCTCTATAAACAAACAGCCAAGCACCTACTATTAAAACAAATATTATATTGAAGTCATATCCGAAGCCTAAGTCCAACAGCACAGTCGAAGGAGAGTATTTCAGTAACTTCTGCAGCTATCAGATTATAAAAACTTGCGTCAATAATGCCGGTGTCGATGTTTTGCCAGTTAATCTTACAACACTGCTTCTCGTATAGCAAATTTATAAAAGTTTTAATTGACTTTGAGTGGATTTTTGTTATATCAGTCTGTAAAGTGTAATACGCACTTACACCTTTGGCAGTAAGGACGTTAGAATGAGCAGTTCTATCTCTTAGGATACACTTAAAAGGGGAGCAATCGGTACCGGTTACCATAACCTACACATGTAAAGCGTTTAATTTAATTTAGAAAACCCTTGAACCGACTAAATATAATGTATTCATGCTACGTTTTCATAACTCAATTCAAAACTAGCATAATATTTTGGCACATAGTGACGATGGCTTCTCGTATGGAGTCGAAAGCTCAGACGAATAAAATTACCGTTCCAGAGATCGCGTCTTCTGCTTTTTTAAAATGGAGTATATTATTTTGTTACAGGTCAAGTAAAGGTAGCCCTTCAATATTTAGGAAATGCACATGATTGTTATCCAGGTTCTAACATTTTTGTTGTTCTATGAGTATTGTCTGAAGATATTTTGTAAATAAATGGGCATCTTTTAACTCTTGAAACGTCATAAATCTAACATGAGGCATTTTCTGCGTCCAGTCTACTCATTGTCAACCGCGAAAGAAAATGAATATTATTGTGTTTGGCGTATTGCATAGACAAACTTGTGTAGAAAATTTTATTTGACCAAGCTTAATTGTTATTTCTACTACTGATAGTCTTTCACCAAATAGCACTGCTTGTAGGATTTATTGAGTGAACTATTTAACGGAACTGTTGACCCTAGGTTCCGCAAAAAAACCTTTCTTTATTTGCATTTACCTCTCACAGCTTTTTACCAGAACATTAAGCAAGTCTTGTTAGCTCAGCTCTTTACCACCTGCTCATTTGTCAACATTCGTTGCCTTTTTAAAGGGTCCAAGGCAAGCAGACTAGCGGTTCTTTACCAACCTCACAAAGGAGGGGAGACTGAAGCCAGTGCAAAGCCATCTGTTCGTAGTGCCAAGTGTTCCTCGTTTGTCTCTGGCCCTTCATCTCTTTCGTATTCCCCCGCGACAAACTGTCCGGAGAATATGGATGTTTCGGCTACAACCAGAGAAGTTTCAGCCTTCCCTCAAAGCAAAACTTGCCCAGTTAGTTACTGCAATTTTTAAAACGGCGTTTTTTTAAAAAAAAGCAATTATTTGGGATAAGCATTAGCTTGTTTTGGTTCGCACGAATTAAATCAGCATGTGGTT